GGAGTTTCGCTCTTGTTACCCAGGCTGGAGTGCAATGGCGCGATCTCAGCTCACCGCAACCTCCGCCTCCTGGGTTCAGGCAATTCTCCTGCCTCAGCCTCCTGAGTAGCTGGGATTACAGGCACGTGCCACCATGCCCAGCTGATTTTTTGTATTTTTAGTAGAGACGGGGTTTCACCATGTTGACCAGCATGGTCTCGATCTCTTGACCTCATGATCCACCCGCCTCGGCCTCCCAAAGTGCTGGGATTACAGGCGTGAGCCACCGCGCCCGGCCGACTTGTGTGCTTTTAAAGGCATTTAGTTTTATAAGGGAAGGAGAGCATAAAAGTTCAAAAAATTTGCAGCTTGATAACGCAATAGAAAAGAAAATCTCATTTTCTGAGGAGGAATTCAAGCTGGCTGCAGAAATTTGATAAGAAAAGAGGAGCCTAACGTCAAACCCCAACACATTGGGGAAAATGTCTCCAGGGCATGTCAGAGGTCTTCATGGCGGCCCCTCCTATTACAGACCCAGAGGCCTAGAAGGAAAAAGTGGTTTTGTGGATTGGGCCCACAATCCCTGTGCTGTGTGCAGCCTAAGACTTGGTGCCCTGCATTCCAGCCACTCCAGCCATGGCTGAAAGGGACCAACATACAGCTTGAGCCATGGCTTCAAAGGGTGCAAGCACCAAACCTTGCCAGCTTCCACATGGTGCTGAGCCTGCTGGTGCACAGAAGTCAAGAACTGGGGTTTGGGACCCTCCACCTAGATTTCAGGGGATGTATGGAAATGCCTGGATGCCCAGTCAGAAGCTTGCTGCAGGGTCAGGGTCCTCATGGAGAACCTTTGCTAGGGCAGTGCAGAAGGATAATATGGGGTCAAAGCCCCCAAACAAAGTCCCTACTGGGGTACCACCTAGTGGAGTTGTGAGAAGAGGACCACCATACTCCTAATCCCAGAATGGAAGATCCACCAAGAGCTTGTACCACATGCTTAGAAAAGGCATCAGCAGACACTAAATGCCTAACAGCTGAGAGGAGGGCTGTACCCTGCAAAGACACGGCAGTGGAGCTGCCCTAACATCATGGAACCCACCTCTTACATCAGTGTGATGTGTTTGTGAGACATGGAGTCAAAGGAGATTGTTTTTGGAGTTTTAAGATTTGACTGCCCCACTGGATTCTGGACTTGCATGAGGCCTGTGGCCCCTTTTGTTTTGTCCAACTTCTCCCATATGGAATGGCTGTATTTACCCAATGCCTCGTACTCCCATTGTATGTAGGAAGTAACTAAACTGCTTTTGATTTTATAGGCTCATAAGCAGAAGGGACTTGTCTCAGATGGGATGTTAGACTGTGGACTTATGAGTTAATGGTGAAATGAGTTAAAACTCTGGGGGACAGTTAGGAAAGCATGATTGGTTTAGAAATATGAAGGCATAAGATTGGAGGGACCAGGGCAGAATGATATGGTTTGGCTGTGTCCCCACCCAAATTTCATCTTGAAATTCCCACAATTCTCACATGTTGTGGGAGGCAGATGGTGGAAGTGACTGAATTACGGGGGTGTGTCTTTCCTGTGCTGTTTTTGTGGTACTGAATGAGTCTCACAAGATCTGCTGGTTTTAAAAATGTGAGTTTCCCTGAACAAGCTCTCTCTTTGCCTGCTGCCATCCACATAAGATGTGACTTGCTCCTCCTTGCCTTCTGCCATGATTGTGAGGCTTCCCTAGCCATGTGGAACTATATGTCCAGTAAACCTCTTTCTTTTGTAAATTGCCCAGTCTCTGGTATGTCTTTATCAGCAGCATGAAAACAGACTCATACAGGGAGGAATAAAGACTCTGCCTTAGGCATCTGTTCCTAAGGCTGGTTCTAATTTGTATAATGTGACTATAACAGATGTATAATGTGACTATAATAGATTTCATATAAATATGAAATATTTATATATAATTTAGATATATTTATATAACAGACTTTAATATATTTCAATGGGTTCTGTGAGTCTTTGTAGTGAATTACTGAACCTGAGAATGGTTTTCAGAAACTTCCAAAGTTGTAGTTGGTGTACAAAGTCTTTTATTCTTCCAACTTTTGCTTTAGATTCAGGGGGTACATGTGCAGGTTTGTTGTATGGGTAAATTGCACTGGGGTTTGGTGTACAAATAATTTCACAACCCAAATAGTGGGCATAGTATCAGTTAAATAGTTTTTCAATCCTCACCCTCCCCCAACCCTCCACCCTCAAGTAAGATCCCATGTCTACTGTTTCCCTCTGTGTCCATGTGCACTCAATGTGTAGCTCCCACTTATAAGTGAGAATATGCAGTACTTGGTTTTCTTTTCCAGCATTAATTCACTTGGGATAATGCCCTCCAGCTGCATCCATGTTGCAACAAAAAACATGATTGCATTCTTTTTATGGCTGCATAGTATCCTGCGGTGTATACGTACCAATTTCTTTATTCATTGCACCATGGATGGGCATCTAGATTGATTCCATGTCTTTGCTATTATAAAGAGTGCTACCATGAACATACAAGTGCATGTGCCTTTGGTAGAAAGATTTATATTCCTCTGGGTATATATATCCAGTAATGGGATTGCTGGGTCAATTGGTATTTCTTTTTAAAATTCTTTGAGAAAACTCCAAACTGCTTTCCATAGTGGCTGAACAAATTTACATTCCCAACAACAGTGTATAAGCATTCCGTTTTCTCTATAACCTCACCAACAACTGTTATTTTTTAACTTTTTAATAATAGCCATTCTGACTGGTGTGAGATGGTATCTGACTGGTGTGAGATGGTATCTCACTGTGGTTTTGATTTGCATTTCTCTGTTGATTAGTGATGTTGAGCACTGTTTCATATGCTTGTTGGCTGCACATATGTCTTCTTTTGAGAAGTGTGTGTTCATGACCTTTGTCCACTTTTTAATGGTGTTTGGTTTTTATTTGTAGATTTAAGTTCCTTATAGGTTCTGGATATTAGACTTTTGTCAGATGAATAATTTGTAAATATTTTCTCCCATTTGGTAGGATGTCTGTTGACTCTGTTGATAGCTTTATTTTGCCGTATAGAAGCCCTTTAATGAGGTCTCACTTGCCAATTTTTGCTTTTGTTTCAATTACTTTTGTTTTCCTCATGAGATCTGTGGAGGCCAATGTCTAGAATTCTATTTCCTTGGTTGTCTTCTAGAGTTTCTACAGTTTTGGACTTTACATTTAAGTCTTTCATTTCATCTTGAGTTAATTTTCGTGTGTGGTGAAAGGATAGGGTCTAATTTCAATCTTCTGCATATGGCCAGCCAGTTATCCCAGCAACATTATTAAACAGGGAACCACTTCCCCACTGCTTATTACTGTCGACTTTGTAGAAGATCAGATGGTTGCAGGTGTGCAGCTTTATTTCTAGGTTCTCTAATCTGTTTCATTGCTCTATGCAACTGTTTTTGTACCAGCACCATTTTGTCAGAAGCACTTAGGCAAACTTAAGGACTGTGCCTATAATGTTAGTTTGGCTAACTCTGAGTAACCATATTATCAAAAATTAATAAACTGATATTTCTATGGCATCTAATATGGCCATTTCATAAAACTTGTAAAGACTTTTGAAATAAAATGTTAGCATTTTTTATTGGAGTTGCTTAGAGAGATACTGCGTTTATAAGACGATTTAATTGGAATAAAAAACATACCTGGTAGATATTGAAATCTGCAAGTCTAACCACAACAGAACTAGACATTAGCTTAGCTTTTGACTGTTGACATAATACTGAAGGTGTTCTGCATGTCCCTTTCAGAGTGTAGTCCTTCTCTGTTGGAAACAAAAACACCTTTCAATTTGTCGCAAAATTATTTTTAACAGTCACTCTTCTATTATTAAGGCAGGTACTAGAAATATATGTGAATACTAACTTCTCAAACAAGATAATATTTGTGGACATACTTTATAAATTATAAAGTGATACAGGACGTAAGTTATTGTGGTGATTATTCTTTTAAGAAGAATCACATATATCACATTTAAGTTACTCTTCTACAAAACTTGGAATGACATTCTTGTTAAAAATGAGATATTTACATAGAATTAGAAAAGGAATACTATGGGGGAGGGCAGGGGAGGGACAGACAAAGGGTAATTAGTGAATACAAAGGTACAGCTAGATAGTAGAACTAATTTCTAGCTTTTATAGGGTGACTTAATTAATAATAATTTATTTTTTCAAATAGCTAATAAGAGCAGATTTTGAATGTTCCCAACATAAATGATAAATGTCTGAGGTGATGAATATGCTAATTATTCTGCTTTTATCATTCTACATTTGTATACATGTATCAAAATACCATACTTCAATCCTTACTGGGCCAGCAAAAAAAAAAAAAGTATCATACTGTACCTCATAAATATGTACAATTATTTTGTGTTGACTAAAAAGAAAAAATAAGAGATCTTCTAGCTACTTAAGAGTTTGAAAAATTCTACCTGGGTGTGACTATTATTGGTTATTTTAAGTTTAAAAGTGCTTTAATCCACAAGCCTATCTTGGTCTGAATGAAGGATGCAGGGGTTTTAGCCATTAATTAAAAACATTTGGCTGGGTGTGGCTGACGTAATCCCAGGGCTTTGGGGAGGGCTAAGGTGGGAGAATTGCTTAAGGCCAGGAGTTTGAGACTACCCTAGGCAACACAGTGATACCCCCATCTCCACATTAAAAACAAACAAAAAATACTTATTTACAGGAAATATGATCACACACACAGAGGCATGTGCGCACGCGCATGTGTGTGCGCGTGCACACACACACAGATACACACATACAAGCACAAATACCCTTAAGATTAGGGGAATGCCATAATGTTATTATAGATAAAATACCTGTTTGTGTGTGCTGGGGAGAGGCATGTGTTGGGGATTTAGGAGGTGAACCTACATTATGATCCTTCACAGCCTGTTTAAGCATTTCAACATTGCACTCAAATTCATGCAATAACTCGTTGGCCCATCCATTTTTTGTTTTGGTTGCATCACTAAAATACATCCAATGATTACAGCTATCTCCTGTAAAATGAATAACAGGTATTTCATTGAAAAATGTACAACTTTCAATTATTATAGTAATGCTTCCAATGAGATTTAGTCATTTATTGAAGAAAGGCATTGATATCCGAAAAATTTACAGGCTTTACCTACTACATGTTATTCTGAAATATGAGCAAAACATTTGAAATAGAGAGAAAGAATGTCAAAAGCAAATCATCTGGAGGAGTTTCTATCTAGTACACATTTTTAGTAGAAAATCACTCAGGTTCAATTTAAAGCCATTTGACTGGTCACCCTTCACTGGATGCTCAATTACCTGGTAAACTTCCATTAAACTTAATCCCAGAAAATGTTAGGAAAGAAATAAAATCCTTTCATCAAAGATTTGTTGTAAAGTAACTAACAAAAACCTAAACCACAAAAATGAACTTTTCAACATGTACTCAGCCATAGTTTCTGGAAGAAAAATATAAAATCAGGATTATTAGTTTTCTCTGTAGCAACTAAGAAAAGTAATATGCACATAAAAGGGTTAAGACAATAAAATCAGGCTAGACATAGTGGCTCACACATATAATCCCAGCACTTTGGGAGGCTGAGGCAAGAGGTCAAGGCTGTAGTGAGCAGTGATCATGCCACTGTACTCATGAGGCCTTGTTTCAAAAAAAAAGAAAATCTACTCTATGAATGTTTCACCTCCCAAAAAATAAATAATTTCTATTTAAAAATTTTATGCATTTGTAAGTTAATTTATGAGTCAGGAGGATAATACATAAGACAAAATGCTTTAAAAGAAAATCATCATATTGAATATCAGCAATAAAAATTTAAAACGAAAAAGAAAAAAACAAAGCATATCATACAACCTTTAAATTTAATCAGGTACCAACGTAGAAATGACAAACATTGGTAGAAAATGTTAAACAGAAATGTATGAACAGAAAAACTTTACCATTTTTAAAATGTCCTGGAAAACTGTATGATCTCTAGTTTGGTTTTTCTCACTTGGATTAATGCCAAATACCACCAAAAAGCAAAACTATGCCTAAGGTCAAATTACTTAATTTGGCCACAATAATCATACTTTTTTTCTTTTCATTATTTGGGAGAAATAATCTACCAATACTAGATTATTAAAAGCCTATGAAATCTGGAATCCTATAATTTAGCTAAACCTACTCTTATTCTTAGCTTCATACACTTTTCCAATTTTTAAATATATAAATCATTTAAAAATTTAAAACATTTACTAATAACCTGTTTTTGTCACAACAAAATAGCACAAACACATCTCCTCTGTACTCTGATTTTTTTCTTTAAGTTTTAAACTGGTTATTTGGAAAACTGTCAATTTCTAAAAATTATGGTTTCCAATAATTTACATAAATCTCAATGTAAACTGTATGACTAAATTCCATGGCAATTCCACTTTCTTAGTAAAATACTGCCAGGAGAAAAATACCGATTTCTTCATCTCATTTCTTGCTAACAAAATAAAACTAAACAAATTGGCTATATAATTTTAAAATAACATTTATATCTTTTAAAGAAGCTGTTATACATACCTGCTTTATGGTAAGGATAATAATCTATAGTTAGCTGCGTAAAAGAAAGTTGCATTGCCCCTCCAGTAATACGTCTGTTTGACTCTGGGAAAAGAAAGAGAAAAAGATATTAAGGAAATTATCAGAAACATTTAATTCACCACAAAAGATTTTTACCATACTTGGAGTCCAAGTGGTAATAACTGTCTCTCTTTCATAAAGCACATTAAGGATTTTAGGAAATATAATTCAATCCAATAAGTACTTACTGAGCCCTCCTCATTTGCAAGGCATTAGGATAAAAGGTAAGAATACAAGAATAGCAGAATCCCTGCCCTGGTAGAGTTCACAGACGATAGTAGCAGAACTTTTATATTTACAGGGCCTCTCCCTATGTCAGGCATTATTTTAAAAACTTTAGGTATACTTACTCATTTGATTTTCATAACAACCCCATTTGATAGATACAATCATTATTATCCTTATCTTCAAGATAAGGAAACTAAGGCCCAAAGAGGCCAAGGACATACAGCTAGTTAAGTACAAAGTTTGGATTTGAACCCAGGAAATCTTAACCACTACACTGTATCATCCTACCTCTTACTGAAAAGGAAATTAAAAGTCTGTTAGGTTAGGTAAGTTGTTCAAAGTCACACAGCTATAAGAAGATCAAAAGTAGATCACGAATTGGTGTAACATGAGCATAAAAATCAAATTTTAAAACAAAATGGGCAAATCAATCAGAAGTAAGAAAAATACAAACTGAGACATAGCTATGTCTCAGTATACACCTCTATATTAATTTGTAAAATCTAATTTATCTCAACTAGAATTTCTAGTTCAGGTCTACAATCCCTTACGTAAAACCTTTGGAAAGCCAAATGTTTCAGAATTCAGAAATGTTTAGATTTCGTGACAGTAATATGGTATATACAGGATATACCATGCAACGATCCCAGCAGGTTCTGAGGCAGCAATAATAAAAATAGCAATTCTGCAGCAAAACATAAATATAAAAAATGTGTTGGTATAAGTCAGGTTTTGCCACCAAGTGCTTTTTTCACAAACTTATAAAATAACATTTCAGAGCCTTTTGAATTTCAGAAAAGTAGTGATTACAAACTGCACTATTAAAGAGATATTTTGGTGGAAAGGTTTTCCTCCTAAATAAAATCATTCAACTTATTCTATGAGGGAATAGTGAAGAATGTAAGGCCTTAGAAAATACTTTCTCCATTCTCGTTACTTAATCTTGACCACCACATTTTCTTAGTTTGGTTTGTTCTAACTTTTTTGGATTTTCCTTTCAAATCTCAAAAGTAAAAGATACCACTGTAGGTCAAATGACACAATGGTATAACGTGAACATAAAAATCACATTTTAAAGATAACAAATCTCTCCACAAACCCCAAATCTTCCTCATCTTTACCCCTCCAACCTTTCAGGTAGCTGCCTTGTCTAATGAAGGCAGAGTAACTTCTACTGCTAAGTATCCGTGGTCTCAATATTCACTTTCCCAGCTTAAAAACACAGGGCAAAAATTTTCATAGATATAGATCCTGATTCAGATCTGAGGCCCAGAGATCAGATAACTCTACTGTTTAAAGGTCTTCAGCTTGATTCTAATGCTCACCAAAGTTGGAGAATTATAGTCCTTACGACAGGCCTACCTGCTGAACTCACCCCCAATACTTCTAGGCCAGGGATACTCTCCAGCAAAGAAACAAAAAAAATGCCCAGCATCTAGATTACAGAACTACATATTTACAGAATGACAAAGGGCAGCTTCCTGGTTACCCTGTTATGTTTACTAAACAAGGAAAAATAAGATGGACAAAAACTACAAGAAAACTAACTGAAATTTTGCTTCCTAATCAAATTTTGGAAGGATGGGAGGAGAAGTAGTCATAAAATATGTTAAAGAGTTACACGGCTGTATGTCTACTCAAAATAGGCAGATAAACTACAATGCCGAAAACACAACTACAAATAATTATGAATTAAGTATGGACTAAAATTTAATTTGCAGACAACTTCAAAATTATGAAAAAGTTAATTCAAAGGCAAGTCTAATATTACATCATCCTCCAAGAGTGTCATTTATCAGTGTTTGATTTTTTAAAGCTAATTTTATTGTTAGTATTGATGGTTAACAACTAATTAACCTTAAGTACTAACTGCTAAAGCAAAATAAAATTTCCTACCAATATGCTTCCAATTGTGCCTTTCATCTACACATTCATATGAACACAATTATGACAAATTATCTTACAAGACATCCTATACAAGAGATTTAATAAACAACCTAGTTTTGTAGTCAATTCTAGAAAAACCAAAATAGTTCAAAATAAGCAAATTATTTTACCTTTTTCTTTAGCATGAATGTCATCACATATATGTAGATCTAGATGAGAAATTACTAAATGATGGGAGGTTTCCTTAACATCAAAGTCATTGAATAGTTTCACAATTGCATCATTTACATCAGGAGCATTTGAAGTTTGTGTTGTCTTCACTTGCTGGGCAGATGCGACTACTGTAGAGCTCTAAAAAGATTCAAAACTCCCTTATCACTGCCAATTTAAATATTGGAAATTTCACACACAAAAAAAATCTAAATATTTTCAATTGAAAAGTCATGAAAAATAACCATCATACATTTTATTTTTCATGAATAACTTAGCTTCACTAAAATATTTTCTGAATTACCTAAGAATAAAACTAAAGCTTAAAAACTGTAAAACTATACACAAATCAAATATGAACCCCAATATGTCTCAGTAAATATCTGAAGTTATATTTAACATATTTACAGCCCTTGTTTTAGAAAATGTAGTTAACTCTTAAAGGCAGTTTACTTGAATATTATTAGTTCTATATATTAAAAAGAAAACAAATGTGGGCCCTGTGTACACTGTTGTGTATCTGATATGGTTGTTGGCTCTGTGTCCCCACCTAAATCTCACCTTGAATGGTACTCCCATAATTTCCATGTGTTGTGGGAGGGACCTGGTGGGAGATAATTGAATCATGCGGGCGGTTCCTCCCCTACTGTTCTTGTGGTAGTGAATAAGCATCAAGAGATCTAATGGTTTTATCAGGGGTTTCTGGCTTTCCATATTCCTCATTCTCTCTTTGCCTGCTACCATCCATGTAAGAAGGGACTTGCTCCTCCTCACTTTCTGCCATAATTATGAGGCTTCTCCAGCCACATGGAACTGTAAGTCCAATTAAACCTCTTCCTTTTGTAAACTGCCCAGTCTCAGGTATGTCTTTAACAGCAGTGTTAAAAAGGACTAACACAATATCCTATAGAAATAAAGCACATCTTTGTAGACGCCCCTGTGATATTATTTTGTACTCTAAGTGTTCTGGTGCCTCTCCTAAAAGATATGGTGTATCCTTTGAACTTGAATAACTAAAGAAGCCAGAAAGGAGACAGGATTTATAAAGTGGTTGTGAGTTCAAATATTTTTCTGAAGCTCCTGTGATATTATTTAGCATTCTAAATGCTCTGGTGCCTCTCCTAAAAGATGTGATGTGTCCTTTGAACTTGAATAACTAAAGAAGCCAGAAAGGAGACAGGATTTATAAATAGGTTGTGAGTTCAAATATTTTTTTCCCTAAAGAGAAATGGTATAGTACATTTTTAACATATAAAAATATATATGAACCTCTAATAGGCTAAAATGATTCTGTATACACAACTATAATGTAAGATTATCTGACATGTGAGCCACAAAACTGTAGATGAATTTTTATAATTATGATAAACACCATATTTTCCACTTTAAAAATTAACAATGTTCAAATTCATAAGTTATAATAAAAGATGGTTAATTACTTAAAGAAGATCAAAATATATATATTTTGTATGTATATATATTTATATACATCTATGAAGAACTATGATCATACTGTAAAAGAACTGCAAAGTGTAATTAGTAAATGAAAATTTCTTCATGAAAATGATTGCAGACCACAGTAAGTAAAGAAACAGAAAGGTGAAATATAGCTATAGAACGTTGAATACTAGATACTCTAGAAAACTTTTCATTAATTATTAAACTGATGTCAAACAATTTTTCTCCTGTTTTTCCCATCTATTTTCAAAGCTATAACAAGGTATTTATGCCTATGATGGTGCTATTTAAAAATACTCTCCAGTACTTCTTTTATTGTTTTCTCTCTTCTTTATTAAGATAAATGCTGATAAAAGTAAAAATATAAACATTAATCTCCCTACAAACCTTCCTCTTAATACTATGGTAAAGTCAGGTTTTTGGATGCTATTTCTGGAAGAAAAAAAATGGGCCATTGTATGCCTCATTAATAATCTTTTTTTTTTTTTTGAGATGGAGTTTGCTCTGTCACCCAGGATGGAGTGCCTCAGCTCATGCAACCTCCATCTCCCAGGTTTAAGCGATTATCCTGCCTCAGCCTCCCAAGTAGCTGGGATTACAGGCTCCCACCATCATGCCTGGCTAATTTTTGTATTTTTAGTAGAGACAGGGTTTCACCATGCTGGCCAGGCTGGTCCTGAACTTCTGATCTCAAGAGATCCACCCGCCTCAGCCTCCTAAAGTGCTGGGATTACACTGCACCTGGCCCTATGAATAATGTTAACACCTCTTAATTTTCAAGATAGTCTTCTTTCTCTTTTAGAGAAGAGTAAGATGAAGCTAAGCAAATATTTGTAACAGAAAACAATGGCCTAGTTGTAAAGTTGAGTAAAGAAACACTGTTAACTAATTCACTTTCTGACATGCTCCCTCGTGACCTGAAATAATCAGATTAGGACATTCTGTATGATATCAAAGGAGTAACATGATAACTACTATCCAAGAAAACAATTCTATCCTAATGGTTAAATGTATCTGCTATAACATATTATGGAGCAACAAAACGTAATAGTTACAAAGACTAGAGACATGGAAGAAACTTGCATATGCCCAGGAACTACAACTAGGAAAAAGTGCATACGCTGGGGCAAAAACCACCCTCAAAATGGTAGCACAAGTTTTGTTAGCATGCTGAGATGACAGAATTTTGTCCTTGTTTCTAGTTTCCCAATAGATACATATCTAATTTTCTAATCCATAGTCCATTTTACATAAACAAATCCACATATAAGAGCTATACAGTAATATCAACCTTCAATCTGTTAGTTTTTAACTATGACCACCATCTCTGTTAATTACAACCTAAACTACCAAAAATCTTTGTTGCAAGCCTTAACAGAATAATATTTATGTCTATGACGGTAATATTGTAAACTACTCTTCTCTACTTTTTTCCTTATACTTTTCAGCTCCAAAATGGCTTTTCTTACCCTTATCTTCCTTAATCAAACCTACTTCCTTCTTCTGCCTTCCCTTATTGGCTAATGACACTACCAATTGTCATTCCAAAGTCCTCAACTTTTCTCTCTTCCTTATCCTCAACTTACTTAAAAACTTCCACTGGCTCCCAGATGACCACAGGAAAACGTCCAAATTCTTCTATGTATTATACAACATGTTTCAATTATAGTCATTGCAAACTTTTATTTCAACTCAGGCTACCAGTCGAGGGAAACTATTCTATGGTAGAGCCCAGTGGTCTGTTTGCCAAATGGTTAAAATCAGAATCCCCTGAGAATTCTGCAGATGCCCCATTGGATGAATAATTTATTGGTAGAATAATACAAAATTCACTTTCAATTCTGTATGTTTATTTGTTTTTATGGCTATAAGCTCTAGAAAACCTTGTTCACATAAATAGGTAGACTGAAAGGAAAGCAGTTTTGTTTTAGCCATATGACTTGATCCTTTCAATGCCTTCAGGTTGCCTTCACTAAGTGATCTACTATAAAAAATTATTTTAATAATCTCTAATAGCTGACAATTATTTGATCGTCCTTCAAATGCGTTAAAAACAAAGAACTAGACTTGTTCCTTTGTCATTAGAGCCATTAACTTCCAACATGAATAGCAATGTTTCAAAATGCCACTCTATCTTGTTCCCAGAGGGGTTTTCATCCCCTCCCTGTTCAAATTCATTCTAGTAAGACTGAGGATGAGTAATAATGCCTTTCATTTATAAAGTAGGATTAGAGTCATTATGGAAAGGGAGAGCCAGTCTGACATCTTAATGCAAGCATATTCTCTGGTAGATCAAGTTTAAGAAAGAATACACATCAAAGTGGAATATGTGGAACTCAATTTCTTTAAAATATAAAACTTGGAAAATTGTTATATCCTGAGGCATTTGAACCTCACTCCTAAAAACATTAGTAACACCAAATTTCTTATCTTTATCAGAAAATAACATGTTCTTTAAAAATACTATACTTGTGCAGATTCTACTGTCTCTTCTGAAATGCCTTCCCCCCATGTCTGCCTGTGAATTGCTACTCATTTCTAAGACTTAATTTCATTATCCTCTTTGTGAAACCTTTCTAAACCCTGCAAGCAATTAATTGAAACCTCTCTCTGTTTCTGTAGTTCCTACACATAACCCTTTCCCTTACTTCTTCATGCTAACATTTACATTCAACTACAATGATTTGGAGATTTTTCTTTTTCTTTTCTTTTTTTTTTTTTTTTGAGACAGGATCTCACTGTTATGCAGGCTGAAGTGCAGTGGTACAATGGCTTGACTTCCTGGGCTCAAACAATCCTCCTGCCTCGGTCTCCCAAGTAGCTAGGATGACAGGTATATACCATCAAACTCAGATGATTTTTAAATTTTTTTGTAGAGATGGGTCTCAGTACATTGCCCAGGCTGGTCTTAACCTACTGGCCTCAAGTAATCCCCCTGCCTAAGCCTCCCAAGGTGCTGGGATTACAGACATGAGCCTCTGTCCCCCATCTACAAAGATTTGTTTCATATTTGACTCACCATTATACTCTGAGGTCCTTGAGGCCAAGGTCAGATGGTATTCATTTTCACATCAAAATGTCTACTCCTGCACATTAGGACATAGTAGGTAAGCAATAAAAAATGCCAATGTGATATTCATTGAAAGCCTAGACTGGGCATGGGGGTTCACACCTGTAATCCCAGCACTTTGGGAGGCCGAGGAGGGCAAATCGCTTGAGGCCAGGAGTTTGATACCAGCCTGGCTAACACAGTGAAACCATGTCTCTACTAAAATTACAAAAAAAATTAGGGGGGCAAGGTGATGCTTGCCTATAGTCCCAGCTACGCGAGAGGCTGAGGTACGAAAATCACTTGAACCTGGAAGGTGGAAGTTGCAGTGAGCTGAGATTGCACCATTGCACTCCAGCCTGGGCGACAGAGACTCTGTCTCAAAAAATAAAGAAAGCCTAAATGTATGCCATTCCCATGTACAAAGCCAGATCACCAACAAGCTATATATCTGAGATATATAACACTGTTTCCAAGGAAATAGCTTCACAGGTGCATAATTTTATACTATCCAGTTTTTATTAGGGGTAGATAGAAAAATTCATTTATACTTTGCATAAAATTATTAACAATATTATCCATTATAATTCTCATTGTCTCTTCTATAAAGATCTTTATGTATTGGTACTCAGAACTTACTATGGGGAAAGACTAGGAAAACTTTTCTTCTTCATACCAACTAATAATGCTCCACACAAACTAATAATCACTTTCAAGAAAGTGATAAATAGCTCATTATGCTTGTCCCTGTTCTTGCACCAGCCATCAGACAACTTCAGCAGTTTTGTGTCCAATTTCAGCAATTCCTTATGGCTTTGGTTCTCTGCACAAGTAACTCTCACATGTCCTCTCTTGCCTATGATTACCTAGGTTTTCCCTCGTTTACTTTTACTTTAGTAGTTTTAAAACTACACTCATTTAACTTCCTAAACAGAGGTATTAAAATATCAAATACTTTTATGTCATCATTACCCTTAGTGCCTTATACAGAGCTCTAAACAAAATAAACACTAATAGATACGAATACATTTTCATATAGATACTACTTATATAAAATTACCTGGAAGACATCTAGATAAAGAAGATTCTTGTATTCAAAGCCTCACAATCTGTTCCTTAAAGAAAATACGAACAAATCCTTCTGATTTTTAAACTATTTTCCTGTAAAGTAAGTATTTTTCCTGTTAATTTTATAGCATACCTGTGTAGGTTCAGGAGCCATACTCTTTCTTTGTTCTGTTGATTTTTCTATTGCTTCACTAAGAGATTTTGCATATTGTACCATAGCTTTCAACTGGGAATCAGTTAAAACCCATAATAAGTCATCCAATATTAGAACTAACTTTGTTGCTATGACATTGCAGTCCTTTAACTGTGGGGGGAAAAAAAAGTTTTATAAAATTAAGCCAAGATATAAACCTTATAACACACTTGTATTCAAAAATTGCTTTCAAAACCTTTTTGAATAAAATTAAATATGGATTCTTCCTTCATTCAAAAAGTATTTGCTGGCCAAGCACAGTGGCTCACGCCTGTAATCCCAGCACTTTTTGGAGGCTGAGGCAGGTGGATCATCTGACATCAAGTGGTTGAGACCAGCCTGGCCAACACAGTGGAAACCCTGTCTCTACTAAAAATACAAAAATTAGCCAGGTGTGGTGGCGGACACCTGTGTAATCCCAACTACTTGGGAGGAGGAGGCAGGAAAACTGCTTGAACCCAGGAAGCAGAGGTTGCAGCAAGTGGAGATAGCACCATTGCACTCCAGCCTAGGTGAGAGAGAAACTTGGTCTTTTTAAAAATAAAAATAAAAAGTATTTATTGAGTTCCTGTAACATGAATGGAGTATTTCCTAGTACTAGAGATGCAGTGGTAACAAAAGACAGACAAATCCTTGTACCTTACAAGTTATATAGTACTTATATAACTTAATTTGGCATTTATAGCTGATAAATCATATAATTACTTATATTAATTCAAAGATTCAATAGAAGAAATGAAATTATAAGACAGTAAATGTTCAACAAATATTGTCAACTGAGAAATATATTCAATTTACCAAAAACAAAAATGTTTAGGCCAGGCATCGTGGCTCACACCTGTAATCCCAGCACTTTGGAAGGTTAAGACAGAAGGACTGCTTGAAGCCAGGAGTTCATGATCAGCCTAGACCACATAGCGAGACTCTGCCTCTACAAAAAATTAAAAATTAGCTAGGCACTGTGGTACATTCCTGTAGTCTCAGCTACTTGGGAGGCTAAGGTGAGAGGATCCCTTGAGCCCAGGAGTTTGAGGCTGCAGTGAGCTAGGATGGTGTCACTGCACTCTAGCCTGGACAATAGAGCAAGACCCATCTCCAAAAATAAAAATAAAAATAAGGCAGACGCAGGAGGATCACATGAGTTCAGGAGCTCAAGACCAGTCTGGTAATATAATGAGACCTCATCTCTACAAATAACTTAAAAAATTATTCAGGCATGGTGGTGCATGCTTGTAGTCCCAGCTACTTGGGAAGCTGAAGCAGGAGAACCACTTGAGCCTGGGAGGTCAAGTCTTCAGTGAGCCTTGGTCATGCCACTGCAATCAAGCCTGGTCAATAAAGTGAGATCTCATTTCAAAACAAATAAAATAAAATAAAAATAAAAACAACAACAAAAAAAAATCCTTTGAAAATCTATTAAACCTAAGACTGAGGAATATTATACTAGTTTTCTACAAATATTATCTAAGTAACTATACCTCCCTTTATTTTACAATGCCACTGGTAGTATGCCAATATTTCACCTAAGAAATTATTTAAAATTTCCTATAGTTAACTAATAGTTAACACACAAATCAAAAAGTCAAATCCAAAAGTTAATACAATCAATAATGTAATCCTGTTGACTCACCCTTCTTTTAAGTGTGACTCTGATTTTTGATTGGTTGGTTATTAATCGAACAGGAGCACACATAATTTCAAGATGTGAACTCTGGGTAGCATCTGCCTCTATTCTTATCATCTGCCAATTTATTTCTTTAAAAGTCAAAACCTAAGGAGAACACAGAGATTAACTTCACCTACTCATGCAAAACAGAATGAGAAAAATGTAGGTTTTAAGAAACAAAGCGAATGTATCTTATCAACTAATTTTCACATGACATTCTAGATATATTCACCATGTTTGTATTTTTGTAAATTGTATGATTCCATCAAATTCAGTTACATATCTTCATATTCATATTCATCATGTGTAAAGCTGTTAATACTTTTATTCTAAGTAATTCAGTTAATGTAAAGCTCAAATGCATTTAAATCATGTGACCAAGAAACAACTAAATAATGTATTTTAGTTTGAGGGATTTAAACATTCAATTCTGAGTAGCTGAGAAGTTAAAGTAGGGCTTTAAATTGAAATATTTATTACAGTAAAAGCATTAAAATGTGCACATTTTGTAACTGAATGATTAAGAGTAATACAGAGAGTTAGGTGCAGTGGTTCAGGCCTGTAATCCCAGTACTACGGGAGGCCAAGGCAAGTGGATAGCTTGAGCCCAGGAGTTTGAGACCAGTCTGGGCAACATGGCAAAACGCTGTCTCTATCAAAAATATGAAAATTAGGCACAGTGGTGCATGACTTTAGTCCCAGCTACTCAAGAAGCTGAGGTGGGAGTATCACCTGAACCCAGGGAGGTCAAGGCTACAGTGAGCCATGATTGTGCCACTGCACTCCAGCATGGGCAACAGAGTGCAACCGTGTCTCCCCTGTACACCTCCCCCCGAAAAAGTAATACAGAGAAAAGCAAAGTTAAAAGTCAAGATTCTGGCAACCATGAGATGTGATTATTTTAATTGTTCTCCTTTACTTGTCACTAAATGAAGCCTTTAAAAAGGAAAGAAAAAATTTTTTACCTCTCCTCTTTGTGGATCCTGAATACGAGTAAACCTTAAATCTCCATGTTCCCAGTGTGCATTTACACTGTAGATCCGAAGCTGAGAAAGTTCAAATGATGCATTGAAGGCTTTTGCTCCAATTCTGATGACTATAGAATTTACAGAAACAGTAATTCCCTCAACTACTTTTTCAGCAAAGCCATATTCACTGGAAAAACAAAGCAAAATAAAATTCACTAAGGACAAAACTAATTTTTATAAGTTCTACTAATATTTGCACATTGCTGGCTGTGCATGGTGGCTCACACCTGTAATCCCGGCACTGTGGGAGGCTGAGGCAGGCAGATCACTTGAAGCCAGGATTAATTTTTTGTAGAGATGGGTCTCAGTATATTGCCCAGGCTGGTCTTGAACTACTGACCTCAAGTAATCCTCCTGCCTAAGCCTCTCAAAGTGCTGGGATTACAGACATGAGCCTCTGTCCCCCACCTGCAAAGATTTGTTTCATATTTGACTCACCATTATACTCTGAGGTCCTTGAGGCCAAGGTCAGATGGTATTCCTTTTTACATCACAGTGTCTACTCCTGCACCTTAGGACATAGTAGGCACGCAATACAAAATGCCAATGTGATATTCACTGAAAGCCTAGACTGGGCATGGTGGTTCACACCTGTAATCCCAGCACTTTGGGAGGCTGAGGAAGGCAGATCGCTTGAGCCCAGGAGTTCGAGATCAGCCTGGCCAAAAGAGCGAAACCCTGTCTATATCAAAATTACCCAGGCTGGAGTGCAGTGGCATGAACTCAGCTTACTACAGCCTTGACCTCCCAAGTTCAAGCATTCTCCTGCCTCAGCCTCCCAAGTAGCTAAGACTAAAAGTGTGCACTGCCCAGAGCTAATATTTGTATTTTTAGTAGACATGCGGTTTCACTATGTTGACCAGGCTGATCTTGAACTCCTGACCTCAGGTGATCCGCCCACCTTGGCCTCCCAAAGTGCTGGGATTATAGGTGTGGGCCACTGCACCCAGCCCAACTTAACTCTTAAGAGTCATAAAAGTTCCACTGATGCACAGAAAATAATATGCAGAGAGATACAGGCTATGTGATTTACAGGATGCCTAAATTCTTTTGTTTCCATTTTCTGCTGCTGCTCTGCCATTAATCATTATTATTTAATAATAGCAAGGAATGCAAGATGAAAAAAGAAGTTAAAAGTTAAATCTGCAACTTCGCAATGTATATAACTAAACTGTAAAATGTTTGATGGGAGAGCTGACTGAAATAGAGGCCAGTTGAGGTTAACGCATTTTTTAAAATGTCCTGTTACTGTTAATAACAGAGTTGACTATAGAAAAGAACTCCCTTTGGCAGTCATGCCGATTTATGGAAGTAACTTACCTTTGTCCTGAAGCAGTTGCAATTGGTGATGGACCATTAGGGCCTCTTGGTTCTTCACAGGTACTCATTTCCATTATTACTTTATCCAGGGACTAATAAAAATGTTAAAATGTAAACAATTAGATATTTTATGCATATTATTAAAGTATTATTTAAGATTATTTCCTCTCTTTCATTTTTCTTTAGGAGGAAAGTAAACAGTAAGTGAGCAGAGTCATTTTAAGCGTCTCTCTACAGGTCTACAAAGACAAATGCCAAAAAAGACCACAAAGCACTCAATCAGTTCTCAAGGCATTCATTATCTGGTGGAAAAGCTGTGTATTACAGGTGTATGGGGGGTTGAATTTAAGATATAGTCATTAACTATTGAAATCATCAGATTTCATGAAAACGAAATCTCTAATCCCAGATGTATTATCCATTAATAAGATTATACATTAATAAATAGGATTGAACTTCCCCAAAAAGCTTATCCCAATCTAAAAGCTGAGACATAAGACACAAAACTATGGGAAATACGAAATAAGCAGGGAATGTTAAAAAAAAAAAAAGAAATGAAAGAAACACTTGAATCATGGAAAAGGTTCTTTCTCAGGGTAATACTTTTTTCCTTGAAGAAAGATCTAATGCCCTTAATAGTCATCACTAACACAACTCCAGTCATTCTTCATTCACTATTTCATATATAGCATTTACTATTATCTGAAACTGTCTTGTTTTATTTATATTCTTGATAATTATATTTTTTAAATGAAGGACAAAATGATAAATTTTCTTCAACTTTCCTTAAAAAGCAAAGTATATTAAAGAACATATTTCCTAACTTACTAGATCAGTAAAAGGAGAAACAAAGACAATCTGGATCAAATGTTATTGAAAGAATAATCCCATAGTACATCATCAAAGAGTTAAATGATGCAATAAAATACTATACCAATTTAGAAGACAGTATTCTAGGCCTGAAAAACTTTAAAGATGCTCCTATTTTGAGGTTAAAACTTCTCATTTAAAGGATAAGAAACCTAAGTCCTATCAAAATAAAATGAAAGCTTTTAATGAAATGGTGAAAAATCCAGACTATATTTCCATGAAACAGAAGATTACTATGAACAGAGTAATGTATATATATAAATGTATATATATATAAATATATAATGTATATATATATATAATGTGTATATATAAATGTTTATTTCTGAAGTGGTTTCAGAACTCACCAAACAGATGGGATGTGTTTTCAGTTTTGTCCATGGGATCTACAAATGAAAACATTTAACATGAATCATTAAGAAGAAAGTTATATAAATAGTAATCAACACAGGTGTTATATTAATATAGTGACAGACACACCAAATTATATAAAATCACTTTTATTAAATTACAAAATAAACTGAGCAACTCACACTTTTGAAATCAGATGTACTCATTTTATATAAGAAATTATTACTAGCTATATCTTCTCAGTCATCTTTTGAACAGAAATCCTAAGTTCTTTTTTCTTTTTTTTTTTTTGAGACAGTCTCCTGTTGTTTCATCACTATACAATTAATTCATGTAAACAAAAACCACTTGTACCTCTAAAGCCATTGAAATAAAAAAAAAAAACTTTACTAAAATAAAAGTGTCAACTCTTTGTAGATATTTAGGTTTACCAAGGATAGAACAAAAACTAAAAGTGACTATCAAAGGATATAGGAACTTTTTCTGATAGAACTAATAATCGTTTCTTAGGAACCCAAATTTCGGTTCTAGGAAACAAATCAGCATGCAATATTTCAATTAAGGAGACGACTTCGAGAAAACCTCATCTTTAAGACCAAGAGGTGACACAAATTGACATATGATTAAAGATAAGTAGAGGTCAGCTGGGCATGTTGGCTCATGCCTATAATCCCAGCACTTTGGGAGGCGGAGGCGGGTGGGTCACCTGGGGTCAGGAGTTCGAGACCAGGCTCACCAACAGAGTGAAACCCCATCTCTACTAAAAATACGAAAATAAGCCAGTTGTGGTGGCATGTGCCTGTAATCCCAGCTACTCGGGTGGCTGGGGCAGGAGAATGGCATGGATCTGGGAGGTAGAGTTTGCAACAAGCTAAGATGGTACTGCTGTACTCTAGCCTGGGTGACAGAGCAAGACTCCATCTCAAAAAAAAAAAAAAAAAAAAAAAAAGATTAAGTAGAATAGCAAGTTATAATAATAGGAATGATACTAATAGTAAACAGAACCCCTTAAAAATCTCAAAATGAAAAAGAAACTAATGAAGAAAAGAGATAAAATTCCAAATTTATTAATTCTCATGTCTTCATTTGAAAGAGTGTTTTATTCACTTTAAAAAAATTTTTTTTGAGACAGGGTCTCAGTCTGTCACCCAGGCTGGAGTGCGGTGGCACAATCATGACTCACTGCAGCCTCACCCTTCCAGACTCAATTGATCATCCTGATTCAGTTTCCCAAGTAGCTGGGACTACAGAAGCATGTGTTACCATGTTGGGCTAATTTTTTTTTTTTTTTTTTTCCAGTAGAGATACAGTCTCACTATGTTACCCAGGCTAGTCTCAAACTCCTGGCCTCAAGCAATCTGCCCACCTTGGCCTTCCAAAGTGCTGGCATTACAAGTGTGAGCTACCATGCCCAGCGACTCACTACAAGTTTATATTGTCCCAACTGAAAATAAAACTTATGAAAAAACTATCTTTGAACATGTATCAAATGGATACAATTATTTTATTAACAAATTAATAATTTTTAAATATTTATGAAATCACATTTAAACAAAAATTAAGATCTATAAAGTAGTTAATATACGCCTCTAAATAAAAGGCACATACATTTATGCAAAAGGTATCTTTCTTTCTAAATTATAGTAATAAAAATGTTTTTACAGAATTATCTAAAACTAAGTATTTTAAAAGATAGAGTTGAAATATAGAAAGAAAACATAAAAGGCCTTCCACAAATATCAAGCCACAGATAACAAAGTCTCACCCTAATGGACGCTTTATTACAAAAAACTTTGTTGATAGCAAGCCATGTTGGCAAATCCAACATATTCTGGAGCACTTCTTCATCCAACTCCAAATTCTTCAGTTCACCTTCTCCTTTAAGGGTACTTAGATTTATCTTGTCAGGAGATAAATTTTTGGTAAATCTGAAAGAGAATATATATTGACATTTATTTGTGTCAGTTACTGTAATCCAGAGTCATTTTTGCAAATATACAGAGCACTAAAAATGTAACAGCTATGGATGCAACCTAATGTCTATCAACAGATAAATGGATAAAGAAAATGCAGTACATATATACACAATGGAGTATTATTCAGCCATAAAAAAGAATGAGATCCTGTCATTTGCAACAACATGGATGGAACTGGAGGACATTACAGTTAAGTGAAACAAACCAGTCAGGGAAAGACAAACTTTACACTTGGTCATTTGTGGGAGTTAAAAACTAAAACAACTGAACTCATGGAGATCAAGAACAGAAATGATGGTCACCAGAGGCTGGGAAGGGTAGCGGCAGGGAGCAGGGGTGGGAATGGGTAGAGGGTACAAAAATACAATTAGGTAGAATAAATAAGATATTAATATGTATGGTTCTGTGTCCCCACCCAAATCTCATCTCCAATTGTAATGCCTACATGTCAGGGGAAGAACCTGGTGGGAGGTGATTGGATCATGGGGGCAGTTTCTCCCACGCCATTCTCATGATAGTTAGGGTGTGGGTTCTCAAGAGATCTGATGGTTTAAAAGCGTTTGGCAGTTTCTCTTTTTCTCTCTCTCTCCTTTTCTCTCTCTCTCTCTCTGTCCCTCACTCCCTCCCTCTCAATTAAACCTTTCTTCATAAATTACACAGTCTTACTCAGTCTCAGATATGTCTTCATGGCAGTATGAAAACAAACTAATACAGATATAGTATTCGACAGTACAAGGTGACTACAGTCAAAAGTAATTTATTGTACATTTCAAAGTAGTTAAGTGTATAACTGGAAAGTGTTTAACACAAAGAAATGATAAAGCCAGCCAGGCATGGTGGCTCACACCTATAATCCCAGCACATTAGGAGGCCAAGGAGGGCAGATCACTTGAGGCCAGGAGTTCAAGACCAACATGGCAAAACTCCATCTCTACTAAAAATACAAAAAATTAGCTTAGCGTGTTCCACATGCCTGTAATCCCAGTTACTCGGGAGGTTAAGGTGGGAGGATTGCTTCAGTCCAGGAGGTGGAGGTTGCAGTGAGCTGAGATTGTGCCACTGCACTCCAGCCTAGGTGACACAGCAAGGCCCTGCCTCAGAAAAAAAGAGAAAAAAAAAAGATTGGAAATAACTAACATAACAGTGAGCATTTTCCAGGGGTTTAGTGTGTTCCAAGCTCTTGGCATACATGCATGACTACTTCATTTAATTCCCATGATAACCTATTAGGGTCAGTAATAATTTTACCTCATTTTGTGAATGAGTAAACATAAGGAGAAACTTGAAGTTACTTGCCTAATATCACAACAATGATAACAATAAATTACCCATCTACTTTAAAATATGTTCATATACATTATTTTATTTATTTATTTATTTTGATACAGAGTCTCGCTCTGTCACCAGGCACCAGGCTGGAGTGCAGTGGCACAAGTTTGGCTCACTGCAATCTCCGCCTCCCAGGTTCAAGTAATGCTCCTGCCTCAACCTCCCAAGTAGCTGGGACTACAGGCGTGTTCCACCACACCCAAATTTTTGTATTTTTTAGTAGAGATGGGGTTTCACCACGTTGGCTAGGATGGTCTCAATCTCTTGACGTCGTGATCCACCCACCTCGGCCTCCCAAAGTGCTGGGAGTACAGGCGTGAGCCACCGTGCCTGGCCCATTACTTTATCTTTAAAACAACCCTAAAAAATAAAAAAATTACTAACTATGCCCAACAAATACTTTTTCAAAAGTGAAATAACTGAAAAAATTACTGGGTAACAAGAGTTAGTTTTTACTTTTTATGGAAATTAAATATTAAAGCAACAATATGTACTAGGTTACTTACATGCCCTACTTGTCAACAAGAATACCAATCAATAAACCCATGTTTCTCCAGTGACTCAAAACCAGAATTTCTTTTTTTTTTTTGAGACAGAGTCTTGCTTTGTTGCCAGGCTGGAGTGCAGTGGTGCAATCTTGGCTCACTGCAACCTCCACCTCCTGCCTCAGCCTCCAGAGTAGCTAGGACTATAGGCACGCGCCACTACACCCAACTAATTTTTTTGTTTTTAATAGAAATGAAGTTTCACCATGTTGGACAGGATGGTCTCAATCTCTTGACCTCGTGATCCACCCACCTCTGCCTCCCAAAGAGCTGGGATTACAGGGGTGAGCCACCAAATTCTGGCCCAAATCAGAATTTCTTTTTTTTTTTTTTGAGACGGAGTTTCGCTCTTGTTACCCAGGCTGGAGTGCAATGGCGCGATCTCGGCTCACTGCAGCCTCCGCCTCCCGGGTTCAGGCAATTCTCCTGCCCCAGCCTCCTGAGTCACTGGGATTACAGGCATGCGCCACCATGCCCAGCTGATTTTTTGTATTTTTAGTAGAGACAGGGTTTCACCATGTTGACCAGGATGGTCTCGATCTCTTGACCTCGTGATCCACCCGCCTCGGCCTCCCACAGTGCTGGGATTACAGGCTTGAGCCACCGCGCCCGGCCACAGAATTTCTTGAGCCAGATTCTATTTGGATTCATATCTTCTTACAAGATGTCAACTGAGAAATACAACGTTCATTTAACACATGTATTTGACCAATGATGCTGGGCTATATTATACTTGCTTCTGATCACGCTTGATTCAATACCATGAAGCTTTCTCATAGGCTGCCATTCCTAACCATAGAAAACAAACAAACAAACAAAAACCCTGCCACTTCCTTGAGGCAGAATATCAGAGCCAGAAGGAACATTAAGGAAGTATGTATTGAGAATTCATTATGCAGACACATACACTGGCAAGCAGCACACTCAAGGTCCCTGCCCTTGTGGAGTTTTCAGTTTAGTTGGTGAGAGACCAAATGGCACAACTAAGAGCAAATACAGTAGGAGTTCTAATCCAGAGCTTCTCTGAAACAGGGACTTTTGAGCTGGTACCTGAAGGATGAGAAAAAGTTAACTAGGCAAGGAAAAAAAGGGAGGTACAGAAAGGAAGTATTCCAAGCAGAGGAATAAAATATACAAAGGTTCTAAGACTGGAGGGAAAATGATATAAAATGGAACTGAAAAAATATTAGAAACACGGTAACCTATATATATATAATACTTATAGGAAAGGAAGGAAGGATGGAAAACAGACTAATCTGAGTAACTCAAATGGAACATTTGACTATATATCCTTAGTCTTGGGCATGGAGGAATATGGGGATGGAGGTGGTTAGTGGAGAAATCAGGCAACATCTTGACTGGGTATGTACAGGAACGTTCATTTCAAGGATACTTACAAGAAAGAAAAAGTAAAAATGATCTAAATGTCTCAAGAGGAATAACCCATCTAATTACAATACACTATTCTATTAATACATAGATATTAAGTAATATATGTTGTGAATCATATAAAGAAATGCTGATATTATAATGTCTGATAAAAATTCAAGACACAGGCCGGGCGCGGTGGCTCACGCCTGTAATCCCAGTACTTTGGGAGGCCGAGGCGGGTGGATCATGAGGTCAAGAGATCGAGACCATCCTGGTCAACATGGTGAAACCCCGTCTCTACTAAAAATACAAAAAATTAGCTGGGCATGGTGGCACGTGCCTGTAATCCCAGCTACTCAGGAGGCTGAGGCAGGAGAATTGCCTGAACCCAGGAGGCGGAGGTTGCGGTGAGCCGAGATCGCGCCATTGCACTCCAGCCTGGGTAACAAGAGTGAAACTCCGTCTCAAAAAAAAAAAAAAAATTCAAGACACAAAATTATGTGTTATAATTTCAAGTATGTAAAAAATGCATTACAAAATCCTGTGACTACTTATGGCTGGAGGAATTTTAGATTCTTTCATTTTTGTTTTTGAGATAAAGTCTCTCTCTGTTGTCCAGGGTGGAGTGCAGTGGTGTGATCATGGCTCACTGCAGCCTCGACCTCCCAGACTCAGGTGATACTCCCACCTCAGCTTTTCAAGAAACTGGGACCATGGGCATGTACCATCACGACCAGCTAATTTGTTTATTTAATTAAATTATTTGAGACAGGGTCTTACCCTATTGCCCAGGCTAGAGTGCAGTGGTTTGATCTTGGTTCACTGCAACCTCCATTACCCAAAAGGTTGGGACCATAGGCACATGCCACCATGCCCAGCTAGTTATTTTTTAAAGACAGGGACTCACTGTTGCCCAGGCTGATATCAAACCGCTGGGCTCAAGTGATCCTTCTGCCTTGCCTCCCAAAGCGCTGGGATTACAGGTGTGAACCACCACAGCCAGCCTAGATTTACTTCTTATTTACACTTGTCTGTATAAGTATTCCATAAGGAGCATATGTCACTTTTATAAAGACAAAAATTCAAGAGAAACACAAAAAGACTGGCCTGGCAAGGGCAAAAGTGAAAAATGACAAGGATTAAAATACAGGTAATTTAGCCAGGAGCAGTGGCTCATGCCCGTAATGTCAGCAGTCTGAGAGGCCAAGGCAGGAGGATCACCTGAGCCCAGGAGGTCAAGGCTGCAGTGAACCGTGATACTGCCACTGCACTCCAGCCTGGATGACAGAGTAAGACCCTGTCACACCACACACAAAGAATCAACAAGGGGTAAAATACTACCTACTGCTTACTATTTAACCCATAACTCAGATTCCTCATCTGTAACATGAAGATAATAATAGTATCTGCCTCACAGAGTTGTTTTAAGGATTAACTGAGTTAGAACATGTAAAATGCTAGTTATGATCCCCAATATGAGAAATAACTCAGCAAGTGCTAGCTATTATTAAGACTAAGATACAGGCTAGGCAGGTTGGCTCAGGTCTCTAATCCCAACACTCTAGGAGGCCAAGGTGGGAAAGTAAGAGGCCAAGAGTTTGACACTACTCTGGGCATAATAGTGACACCTTGTCTCAGAAAAAAGGAAGAAGAAAACAATTCCCATTATACAGTATTTCATGGTACAACATGAAAAACTAGATGTTA